TTAATAAATTAGGAAGGTAAAAATACATTGATTAACCGATTAAGAGGTCTTTATAATCGGTTAAATTAAAGTGTAACGTCTCCTAATTGATTAAGGAAGTTGATAATTGTTTAAGTGACGTAGAAAATCAAACTATCCTATTTTAGTTGGGTTAATCGACTAGTACATGGCTTTAATTGATTAACTCATTAAAAAGGTCCACGGGTTGTTTCCTTTTTTAGGAAATTTTTTTCCTATATAAAGAAGGTTTCTCCTCATTTACAATACCCAATTTTACTGAATAGTAATCTTAACTATCATTCTTTCTCTCATTCTTTTATATTGTTTTTTTCACTAGAGTTGCCTTAGTTTCAAGAAAGTGAAATTTTTTATCTGAGAGTTGTGTTGTGCAAGTGATGTGATGAGATTGTTTATCCAATGACGTAGTTCTCTTATGATTCTTTGTAATGATTTTGACGGTTGCAAGTTAAACTTGTAAACTTTTTGGGGTGAAGCTTATTGAGTTATGCTTGTATAAAAGCTCTAGTTGTTTAAGGTTGTTGAGCTAAACCTGTGTAAAAGCTCCAGTTATTTATGAGAGATTGTTTGAGTGATTATGTGCAAAAGCTTAAGTTGTTTTGTAAGGTTGTTTGGGTTAATCCTATGAAAATGCTCAAGGCTATTTTAATGGAAGTCTCAAGGGGAAACTATTAAGAACTGAAGTAGGCCAAATAGTTTAGGTAGAACCCGAATAATTCTATAGTGTGATCTCTTTATGACTTATCTCTTTTATTTTTTGTTATTTATTTTAATCTCGCTTATTTTTCTGTCTTTTATCTTCTCTCTTATTCCGATGATTTTTTCCTTCTTTCTTCTCTCATATAACATAAATGTTTTTAAAATCAATTTTTTTAGGCAAAATACCCCTTTTGGCCTCTTAAATTTACTCCGGGGTTCATTTTGGCCCCTTAAGTTTAAGAAGTCCCAAATTGATCATTTAATTGTTCAAAAAGGTTCACAATAGTCCTTTCTGTCAATTTGACTTAAACGAACGTTTGTTTGGTATATGTGGCATGTGACGTGGATTACATATACATCTTCTTCGTTCCACTCTATTTTCTTCAACCCAATTTTCTCCCAAATTCTAGGGTTCATAATTTTTATTCCCTTTCAATACTGAAATTGCTTAAGGAAAAATGAAGTCACCATCATCAATGAACTCAGGGCAATGTTCATACGAATCCAATGTGAAGAGCGGTGGCCGTTTAGATGCCAATTTACAATGGAACCTCATATGTGGCTGTGAAGACACGACTCTTCTTCGAAGGGCTTCAACCGTCACGAATTTTGGGTAATAATTTTGAGGCCTTCATCATTACAAGGTAAAAAATAAATTAAATTGCTTCTTCATCTCTGATTGTTCTTATATAGGGGAAATGTGAATTACACGGTGCAACACAAGCTAGCTGTGGATATTTTCAATCTTATATAGTGATGTGGCGGATGAGAAAGACCAGTTTATGAAGAAGTAAAATAGTAGGTTGGAGAAGCTTCAAAATGAACTCGATGCAGCAAAAATGGATTTGGAGTCTTTAAAGGAAACAAATGATGGACTGAAACAAAAGATAAGCGACTTACAAATTCAAATGAAAAAGGTGATGAATTCAAAAAAAAATTGGAAGAGAATGTTTGGTATTGTTTTAGTTGTGGTCATATGTAGAATATTATAGCAATTGTATCAGTTTGAATTAGTTTGTGTCAGTCGTAACATTTTGTTATGAATTTTAATGTGTTTTCATTTCAATATGTGTTTTTAATTGAATATGTGTGCTTTCATTCACAGTTTGTTTATACCATTATTTATCAGTTGGTTTATACTTAAACATATAGACAATCAATTGAACAAAGCTAACAACAACATTTCATTATAATTTGGTTTGAACCACCAATATTCAGACATTATAAATTAAGACAAAATACATGTTCAAGCTAACAACTTTACAGGTTCAAAACACCTTACGTTACAAGTTCAAAATACCTTACATTACAGATTCAACAACAAACTTAACTTAACAAGTTGCATTGGACCATGTGGTATAAAAGGTGTAGTTGGCCTTCTATCAGTTTCCTTCAACATCTCCTCAAACACAACTTCAGTCTCTTATACTATCTCATTAAAGGGCATCTCCTCAAGTACAACTTCAGTCTCTTCAACATAATCAGACTGCGACAATGTGTGTTGAATAAAGACATAAACACTAAGATGAATCCAGTAGAGATCAGCAATATCTAAGACACCTTTGTCATCAACTAACAAACTCATCCCAACATTAGGATTCCTATAATATATCTTCCCTATGTCCGCATAACCCAGTTCCTTAATAGTACATAATAACTCAAAATAGCTTTACTTATCCACATCTACTCTCAAATCGACAATCTCACCCCTTTATACACACTAAGATCCTCATTAACAAACTCACCACTGTGGTAGATTATAATGTTCAAAAATTCATTCATTTCAGACTATGTCCTAAATAGAATCGAAGAACAAAGTTTTCAGAAAGATGGATTTCAAAATACCCTAACTACAAAAATAAAAAATTTCCAGAAACGTAGAGATCAAATTTACCTCTACTAAACAGTGTTGTCTTCGCTTTCACATTGAAGATCTGATTATGCCTTCGTTTCGCTCGCATGAACTTCACCTTGGAGATACGACAATGGTTGCGCTAGTGTTTGCTTGAAGAAACCACAATGAGTTATGCGTTTCTATTTCCATTCTCTTTTCTATTTTAGTCTTCAAAAATTATATTCTAGATGACAAAAAATAAAGCATGTGTTTGCCACATGTACGCTTCCATTGACTTTAACTAACAGAATGGACGAAAAAAATAAACGTAAACCTTTTTGAATAATTAAATAATCAATTTAAAACTTTTCAAATTTAAGGAACTAAAATGAACTACGAAGTAAATTTAAGAAAACAAAAAAGACATTTTACTAAAGTTTTATTAATTGACTTTTTAAAATTTCAAATATCACATTTCACTTCTCTCATGTTTTGAATCATTTGATCAACATTAATGATAATACACATGTCATTCTCTAGCTATCCCTACATGACTAAGCAATATTGAAGATTGTTTTTTTATGCAATTTTGAATATTGTTACTAGCCTAGAACATGCGACAAACATGCACGCCGGTGGTAGTTATGGAATTTTTACTATAAATGCCGGTCAAAGGTATTATAATAACTACCATTGATGTAGGTATTATAAGTAACAAAAAGAGTTTTAAATTTATTAAATAATTAATATATTTGATAAATAATGATCAATTACATTATTTATTTAATAAATCTAATTTTTTTGTGTGCTTATAATATAATAGTAACCGAAATGTATGTTAATATAATGATTGTCGATTCTCTTTATCAAAAATAATATATCAATTTAGTTCCTAATCAATTTTATTTTATTCATATAATATAAGATATCACATTAAACATTTTATAAGTTGATAAATTCATATTTTAATAATATAAAAACCAATAACAATTGGATGATGCGAATTTATTTGCAGAATTATTTTTTTGTTTTAATGCGTTGAATGAGTGTTGTTTTTAATATACTTTACTAGTAATATAAGTTAATATAGTTTTTATAAATACATTTTTTTATTTTCCAATAATGTCATCAATCAAGTAAGGGAGGATGATCAACAAAATCCAAAAAAATATCTCTAATTAAAGCATGGGAATTTATTCTTACATAAAAAATTACATTGGAAAGAGAGGTTTTTAATATTTAGCACATCTCCAAATGCTAGCTATGTATTGTAGCAAGCAATGAGCTAAGTCGACATGAAGCTGCACTTGTCGTAACCTGCCAGATAAAAGTTGAATTGAGAAAAATGTCAGTCTGTCAATAGTCCATAGTTTTAAATTGAAGCCTCAAAATAAAATTTGAAAGCACAATAACCATAAGACGACGAGGTGAGACATTGAAATGTCATAACAAACGACTAAATAAGGATCTCATTTCAACAAAAAAACGAATCTCAATATGAAACCTGTGAAGCCTTAATTTTGTCATATGATTTCAATAAAATAATTATAACTGTTAAATAAATTTGTAATGTTGAACCGGACACCCCGGACACAATACTAATTTTGATACGATAACACTATACGATAACACTGTTAATAATTTTAAAAAAATAATAAATTAAACATAATTATAAATGTTAGTGTACTAATCTCCCGCTCTATTCCGTTTAATAAATATGATACTCGTACCTGTCTCATATTCGTGCAAGTATCCGTTAGATAGATATCCTTGAATTTTGAGATATCCATATATATATATATATATATATATATATATATATATATATATATATATATATATATATATATATATATATCATATATATATATATATATATATATATATATATATATATATATATATATATCCATAAGTACTATTATTTAAATATATTTTTTAAAAATATATTTAAAAAATTAATTTTTATCTCTTTTCAAAATGAAAAAAATATATTTTCAAATTTAATACATGATAAATATTTAAAAAACAAATCAAATTTGTTTTATTTATTTTTTTATCAAAATAATTATAATAATAGTCATAATAATATCATATTTAACAAAATAATAATAATAATAATAATAATAATAATAATAATAATAATAGTAATAATAATAATAATAATAATAAATTTTTATCAATCAAATTAATATTTAAGTATTTTTCTAATTATTAACTAATACGGATATCGGCGAGTACGGATATCATTAAATTCATATCCGTATCCGTAAATAAATGAGTAATCAAATATTCATTTATTTTATCTGTAAATATCCATGAAGCCATCATATCCATGTCGTGATAGGTTTTACTCACGGATATCTATGAATACGAATTTTTTTGCCATCTCTATATTCGATATGATATGATAGTTAAGTTAAATAGTTTCAATATTGATATGATATAGCGTAACGGTGTATAAAGATGGTAGCAGAAACTTACTTGGATCAACGTTGACAAGCATAGCAGTACCACCAAATCACAAGTGCCCCCACCAATCTTAGTGTTCTGCCAATAGCTATTGAAAGCAAAAGAAGCATGGGCCAACAAAGTGTTGGGCTGAAAGCATAACCATTGGGCTGATGATTTGCAATCTGCCCCAGACCCACATGCATAGTCCATAGCAAATTGTATTATAGGATCAGGAACTGTTGGCTTTGCAACACACCAAATAGCATAGTGTGGTGGTGAGTTTTTTATGAGGTGAGGGTGGTGGTGGTGATAAGTCATAGGTTGGGGGTTATAAGAGTTTTAGGTGGGCTTGGAACATGTTTTGGTGGGCTTGGAGGTGGTGTTGGTGGTGGTGAAATTGTAATAATGGTTTTTGGACTTGGTGGTGGGTTTGGAAAAGAGGAATAAGGTTGTGGTGCAAGTGTATTGAAAGGTGGTAATGGCTGAGAAGATGGAGAACCATATGAATCAGTGTCTAAGTATTCAAATGATGAAAATTTGTTTAACCTATTTTGAGATTCTAGTTTCTTCCATGATTTGATGGAGGAGCTTCTACTAATTAAACCTTCTTCCATGTTTTATTGCACCTGCAAATATTATATAAATAACAAAAGTTAAATATGTTTTGTTAATAATTAATTAGTAATTATTATACACACTAATTATGCATGGTTTACCAGAGAGAGGAAAAAGAGTGGAAAATTAGGATCAAGAGGCAAAGATGTGCAATGCTGGCTCTGAGGATGTAAGCTCTTGAATCCATTGAGATTGGATCATTACCTCACTTGTTTTTCTCTGAGAGTGAGAGCAATGGAGTGTAATATAAGTAGTTGGTTGCCGTAAAGTATATAGATATAGATATATAAACTAAAGTTGATTCTGCTGTTGCTTTAATTGATATGTTAGTAAGAAAAACAATCTTGCTGAAATGATAAAGGACAAGCAGTCACTGTGTTGCATTTGCATTTCTTAGGATTTGGATATAGTACATAAGAAATAGAGTTAATTAGTTATTGTTGTGTGGAATATATTCTTGCTTGTACAATGCATTTTCGTTTTACTTGATTGCCACTCAAAGAACTAGATGAGATAGATCTATGGTAAATTATATGTAGGGATGACAATGGAAACAGAAGGACAATGGTATTAGTTTCTCGTTTTTAAAGTAAATATGACACTCGTATGCGTCTCATATTTATGCAGTATCCGTTAGCGGATATCCGTAGATTTTGAGATATCTATAAATTTTTACGGATATTTATGAATATTATTATTTAATTTTTTAAAAGATATATAATTAATTAATATTTTTTTATTTCTTTTAAAGATTTTTTTTTAATTTAACACATAATAACAATAATAATAAAAATAAGTCACATTCATTTATTTTTTCTTTATCAAATGATTATAGTAGATTCAACAAAATAATAATAATAATAATAATAATAATAATAATAATAATAATAATAATAATAATAATAATAATAATAATAATAATATATATATAATAAT